AATCCCACATTACTTTATTCCCTCAAAGAAGCAGAACATCTTTATTAAGATTGGTGCTTCAAATTAAAGTGAATCTAAGTAAAAGGTCACAAAAGATTTAAAAAAAATATATAAAAATATAATACTAGATTTAAAAAAAAATAATAACTTTTTATGTTGTGTTACTGATAATATAATCGATATTTAATTTACTCTATGAACTAACAATAACGATGTACTAGAAAATAAAATATTTTTCCTGTAGGGAGTCATTAAAAATAGATCTAGTTTGCCGAGTAGAATATCGGCGTGTCTCGATTTCTATTACATTATTGGCAAATATTGTTATATCCTCCCCTTATCGTTTATATTTCTAGGAGTGGTACTGAATACAAGTTACTTATTTATATTTCACGTGAGTTCATACCGGACAAGTAAAGTTTATTTTTAAAGCGTTAGTCACGAAATTATAAAAATAAAAATGCAAGTGTAACAAAAAATTGTTTTTTATTTATGCAAAAAAATATATAATTATGAGGTTCTACACGCAATATAATTATACAAAAATATGTTTTCATACGTCACATAAAAAATCATAAACATAGTTTATTTATAGCTATACTAACTATGGCCCGCGACTCCGCACTGAATTTAAAAAAATATCAACAATTGAGATAAAAACCCCTATCTCCTAACTTAGATAAAATTAAAGACGCTTACAAAATTTGATATGAATTGGTTGAGTAGTTTCGGAGTTTACCGTGAACATACATCGTGACACGAAATAATTGAACGACTCTGTGGTCCGTGTTACAAGTCTTTGATGCATAAGTATCGGTGACGCGGCCAATGTACCTATTGTTTCGTACCGTTTCCTGAATAATGTATTATTTATTTCATTTTTGGGTCCACCGGTGAATATTTTACATATTTCTCTATTCCCAAAACCCCAAAACGCTGTCATATACATATTTATTGACGGCCGGGCATTCGTATAGATAATAAATTTTCAAAGGGACTCTTCGATGTTTTTTTTTTGCGAAACGTAAAAAGTCTTAAATATTACAAGTAAGCAATTATGTTTGTTCTTAAAGGAGGTATGATGATTTAAAAAGTATTTGTTTTTCTTTGAGTATTTTCACTGTCAAGAGGTCAAATTGCCTTTAAAAATGTTTTTTATTTCGTTTCTAATCTTTAGACTGTAGAGTATTGATATATTCCAGGTTAGTGATTTTCCGATATTTAGGTTTATTATCGTCCTTTTACTTTATTTTATGTCTTGTTTATAGGTTTGCATTAACTCTTATAGATTTCTGTCTCTATAATATTTTGGATGTTAATAACTAGAGTGTTAAATAAACTCATATGAAAACTGTTAAAACACTCACGTTTGTTCGTCCGGTTGCAGCGCCGACTAGTTTCGAGCCCATCGGGAGCCCTTCTTCAGTGACCGAGTGTTAGGAAGAAAATCCAACACTGTGCCGATGTACTGACGCAATACTAGCCTTACTAAAATGTCGACGTTTATGTCTCCGCACTAATCATTCTGATACTTGACTTTGTAACGAAAGCACGTCATTCGCCCAAAAGGATTCTAACTAATAATGTCTTACAAGTTTACTATAATGTCTCACGGAAATTTGAATAATTTTAGAGTATTAAATATTCTATACAATAGTATGTCAAATTAAAAATGTATGATAACATTTTTTTTTAAATATACTAAAATGCACTTGTATGTGAAATTGATTCGACAAAGTTTTAATTAAAATCACCTGTTAAAATTTCACGCCATTCATAACCACACATAACTCTGTAATAACTCGTAGAGCAAATGGGTAAAGTGTGTATTAAAAAGTTGTGTTAGTTCATGTTAATAGAACTTTTAGTCTGGCATTTACACACTCTAGTGTTATGAAGTAATTAACGCGTGATTTAAATCCTTACTATGTATACATTTTTATTATTTAATATTTAATCCTGCTGCAACTCTCAAAAGTAACGTTTATTATGCGTATTTAATTAAAATTTCCTACCTTTTACTATACAAAATACACAGACGAATACTCGAGTAGGTGAATTAACAATTTAGATTTACATAAATTTAACATACAACCAAGAACTGCGAGTAATCGGTGGTCACAATGGAAATAACAAGCATACAGACAATAACATGGCAGGCATAGACCTCGGACCCCCACTTGGCGCGACCTGACACAGCTCTTTCTCTTTACTATCCTTCTAAAGTATTTCATCAATCTGGCGGGTATAAGTCCATTTGAGTCGACAATGGACGCACACTCACTTTCTCGAAATTCATTTTTTCAACGTGTCCAAACTATTTGCACATAAGTGTTTAGTTTTAACCCTAATGATAACCTCTTATCCTCATACATACAAACTCATACATACTAATAGGAAGACAATCCGTCACTATGCTGGTGTACTGGTGCAATACTAGCGTTACTATAATATCGACGTTTATGTCCTCTCACTAATTCTGACACTTGACGTTGGAATGAAAGCGCGCCTTCGTATCAAAGAATTCTAACTAATAATGTCTAAAAGTACTGATATACAAATATGTTATTTACATTACACTTCTGTTTGTCGAGCAATAAACGATAGCCAACAGGTACGTAACGTTAAAGTTAAAATATAAGCAATAAAAGTTTTCTTAAATGTATTTTATATGGCTTCTTAACTAAAAACTTTTCAAGTTAATCCACTTGACTAATGGAGGTTGGTTGAGGGTGTGTAAATGGCTTTAAACGTTCCGTGTTTTGTTGCCTAGATACAACGTTGTTACGGGATCTATTTTATGCACTTGCGAATGGATTAGTTTAAAAGCTGTACAACATAGAAGGGATTTGTTAGTTATTAAGTTAATTACTGGGTTAACTTGAAGTTGATATTGCTCTATCAAATTTTACTTCTTAAGTTACTAAGTTCGAATAACGGAACAGTTTACCTCGGGGAGTACTACAACATATTGTAAAGTTTCTTATTAATTTGTTCTTTGAAGATAGTTGTTACTTATTTCTTATATGGAAGGTCAGCACAGTATGTACTACTCCATACACCTCTATCAGCCGTCATGTCTGAATCTACCCCCTTCCTCCGCATATCCTCTTTCACACATTCATTCCATACTTTTTTGGACTTCTCTCTATTATTTACAAATGAAAAGACAAAAATATTCTGATGACAATTATTTTTAGCAGATATTATACAAGTACTTTTAAGAATTATTTTATTCCATTTAGTTATCTTTCAAAATAAAACCAAACGTTCTAATTAAATTCCAGTATTATGTAATCCGTCATGTTTAATTCCCTTGGCATTGTAAGAAGTGGTTATATAAATTGAATTAATAATCAAATTTCATGCGATTTTAAGGAATGCTTTAAATGGTTTTGAATAAATATGTTTATTAAAAAGGACTGCGCATGAAGATGAAAGGATCAAGCTAAAGAGATTGTTCTTGCTTCTTAAATGGAAAACCTTTGCACTTGCGTTTTAACTGTTGGTTGCTGAGACCAAATTATTTATATAATACGTCATCCCTGTCTTTGACAAAACAGAGATAACAATGTTTTAATTGAAGAGTTTTATCTCAGAAACCCACGGTAAATTGTAATTTCAAGAGGTCTACTGTAGGAGGTATGTGACTTGAATGTGATCTAATAAATCGTGAGAAACAAATGTTACTTTCATTTCTCAGTTGACTGGCTATACCGAGACTCAGCGTACAACGAATACTAATATCAGATTACGTTTTCGTACCAGAATATATAGCATTATGTGAAAATATCTGTAACATGCATGATTTGTTATGTTGATTTGAAAATGCGATATTGTCTGCGAATAGAAGGAAAACTATGAGCTTACATACATATACATTATATGTATGTTTGCATCATCAACTATACGTCCCCAGAGCCAGGTAATAGTCAACCACGCTGGCCAAATGAAATAGTCACAAAATACAAGGTCTTATAGCCAGTCCATTTATAGAGATCAAAAATGGTAAGGATTTAATGGAATTCAGTTCAGTTCAAAAACTTTTTAACGTCCGTATTAAATGCATAAAAAGTAAGTTCATCATCAGCTCACTATACGTCTCCACCGAGGGGTTCGGAGCCTACCCTAAGTTAAAGGTGACTAGGTAATAGTCAACCACGCTAACCAAGTGCGGATTGGTTGACTTCACACATATCTTTAAATTTCTTCTCAGACATGTGCAAGTTGAATCACGATGTTTTCCTTCACTTTAAGAACGTCAAAAAATACATATGTACATAAAATAAAATCAAAAAACACATGGTACATGGCGGGATTCGAATCCAGGATCTGCAGATTGCAAGTCAAGTGCTTAACCCCTTAGCCACTGACGCTCTCATTGTGATTGTTCTAATATCTTTGCATACTAAGGTTTAAATTCTTCTTTTCTGATTAAGGTCGGCGATCAATGAACCTACCACAAATGTTTGTGACAGTCGCCATCGTATCATCAATGATTGAATTTGTGCAGCGCCCCTGTCTGAGTAAACTATACCAACAAATCTCATACTAATTTCGATATAATTAACGATAACACGAAGGCGATTGACACATATCCTAGGCCCATAGCCAATTTCAAAAATGTATGGAACTGACGCGCGACAATTGCGTGACTTATCGAAAATTTTTGTCAGTTCTAAACATTTTTTGAAGTTTCTTATGGAATCGCTTTGAAACGAATGCACTTTGCAGTTCTCCATATTTTATTATGTCTCTTGTACATTATTCATTAAAAATAACAAACGAACACCTTTCCATGTTTGCTTCGCAACTAAATAAAGTAAAAGTTGAAAAAAGTAAAAGTTACTTAAAAGTCTTTGTTATTCTTCAAGCCAGCATTACACTTGGGGAAGCTCCTCTCTAACTTTTTTTACTGCTACCACATATCCAAAGGTTTATGATTTTTAATAATTAGTTTTAATATCAAAAATATAGGTTTGTAATAATTTGTATTGTAGGTGGCGTGCAGCGTTTTTCTGAGCTACCGACGTACACGGAAGTGAACCCGGGTGAGGACGCGCTGCTCAAGTGCCGGATATCCGACAAGAAGGGAATTTGCTCCTGGCAGAAAGACAACAAGGTAAACGCTTTTTTTTTCCTTTGAGAGAAGTCTTAAATTATGCAACAAGAAAAAAATATTGGAGCTTATTTTTTCGCTTTAGGTAACTTACTTTTTAACTTAGGTTTTTCGAATTCCGATTTACATATGTACATTTATCTGACGATCTTACGGTAAAGGAAAACATCGTGATGCAACCTGCACATATATGAGAAGAAATTCAAAGATATGTGTGAAGTCAACCAACCCGCACTTGGCAAGCGTGGTTGATTATGGCCTAATCACCCTAACTTAGGGTAGGCTCCGAGCCCCTCGGTAAGGACGTATAGTGAGCTGATGATGAACTTACTTTTTATGCATATAATACGGACGTTAAGAAGTTTTTGAACTGAACTAAATTCCATTAAATTCTTACCATTTTTGATCACTATAATTAGACTGGCTATAAGACCTTGTATTTTGTGACTATTTGATTTTAATTTGCGCTGATGGAAGTGGTTTGAATATGTGGTGTGTGGTTAGAATTAACTGTCACGTAACATCGACAGGCGCATTTAAATCTGAATGAAAAAGCTATCATTTCCAAGCAACATCCTATCCTATGGTATATAGAAATCAGTGTTTTTTTATAAACGAAGGAGGCAAACAGGCAGCGGGAACACCAGAATGCATGTTACATGCAGAATAAAATTTGTGATATATTTCCCATAGTCAATCATAGATTAAAAAAATGTACAGTGTATGCAATACCATGAAAACAAAGCTAGGAAAGATATTGCAAAATTAATGCTAGTTGTAATTAAAATAGAAATTAAATTTTGAAACATATAAAAAGAAATGTTTTATGTTATTTCTCGCTAAAACGATCAACCATCTATTAGTGCTTCACAGCAATCGGTAATGAAAGCCAAACAAATCGACAAAATGATTTAATCGATAAGAATCTTTTATCTTTTTAAACGTTGTCCTACGAAACCATTAACTTTGATTATTCATAGGACACGTGAATTAGAGAGCGATTAAAAAATTTCGTCATTTTCTAATTACTAGTTTATTCTTTAATTTGATTTTCTACATCAGACTAATTACAAACGAAAAGAATTTACAGCGATTTTCAATACCGAAAAATGCGAAGACAACAATTTCTCATCCTTTTCTTATTCTTAAGACAAATTGAGACAAAAATATTTTATGTATCAGTGTTATAGCAGTTAAAAGCCATAGTTATGATGGCAATAACTTAAGACTCACATAAATATGTAATTTAAGCCTTCACCATCATCAGCTCTCTATACATCCCCACTGAAGGACTCGGAGCCCACCCTAAGTTAGGGGTTAAAAAGCCATAGTCAACTATGCTGGCCTAGTGCGAGTTGACTTCACACATATCTTTGAATCTCTCCTCAGATATTTGCAGGTTGCATCACGATGTTTTTTACGTGTTTTTTTTCTTTCTTACTTCATACTAATATCATAAATGCGAATGTTTAGATGGATCGATGGATAAATGGATGGATGAATGGATGGATGGATGGATGTTAGTTTGAAGGTATCTCCGGAACGGCTGAGCGGATTTAGATGAAACTTGGTATAGATGTCGACATGAACATAGCCTGGAAAAACACATAGGCTACTAATTTACTTTTTTTAATTCAACGTGAACGGAGTCGCGGGCGACAGCTATAGCTTTAATAAAGATCTTATTGATATTTGTTAATATTAACATTTATGTAATATTACATATTTACTAAAATATACTAACATTGTGCAAGGAAATCTCTCTGCTAACTCATACCTGTTTGCGTGAGGGAACTGCTAAATGAAGTTCCTTGTAAATTTAACCATCGTGTTGAATCTCTAGTCACATATAAGTTCCCGACGAACTTTATCTAAATATAATAGCTCGGTAAAGTTAATGTTGCTTACGCGATGCATTCAATTTAATAGTTTGTTCTTGAAGTTACTGCACAAATGCATTTAACTTCACCTTTCTAATGTATTACTAGAGACTCCGTCTGCGCGTAATTTAAAAAAAAACTTATTAATTAGCCAATGAGAGAAATACAACGAAGCTTTTAAAAATCAAGGATGATTTTTACGAAGGAAATTTTTACAACTTGTAATTTCTTACCTCGCACAGCCGCGTTGTGGAACGGTCTGTCCTGGGCGGTATTTCCAAACCAATACGACTTAGGGACCTTCAAGAAGATATCATTTCCTTAAAGGTCGGCAACGCATCTGCAGTTCCTCTGGTGTTGCAGATGTCCATGGGTATCGTTGATCACCTCGGCGTTCCCGCCGCTCATTTGTTTCTTATAAAAAACTCTCGTTCTCTTATAAAAAAAAAACTGGTCTTGTCAATTAAAAATGTTACAATTCGTATTACAATTTTTTTCCCAGTAAAACGGCATTTTCTTTTCTATTCGTCTCTTTATAAAAATGATCCAAAGTAAAAATCTTTTCTAACGACCGTCTAACGTGTAGTTTTTAATTGACCTACGTCACTGAAACTCCAAATACTCGATCAAAAATCGTCCAGGAAATTTCGAGTGTAAGTAACGAACTAGGAATTCTAAAAACTAATTGGGGTTCAATGACCTTTCTGTGCACGATCGTTTTTTTTTGTAAACAAACAACTTCCATACGTTTTGATATTGATTGATGTACCCAGATATATAATATTAATGTATAAAATACGTATTTAACATTTGAAATATTAGAGGAAAAAAAAATGTTAAAAACAACTAAAAATAAACTATTCGTCAAGACGATTCAAACGAGCCAAAACTCGATGAGTTTATGTTATTTTATTACGAAATTCCCATGGCCACCTTCAAGCCTCATCAGGTAAGCATTATGTATGCAAAATTTCCTTCAGTAACCGAAAAGTAAATCAAATATAATTTGCTATTTGAAGACAAACATAGGGACAGGTGGAACTAAATACTTTTAATACCCTCTCTAGAACAGTCGTATACTTTCAACCTATACTTCGTTAAACATATAATAATGATTTTCAACATATCTAACCCTAAAGATACGATTATTTTAAAAATGTATTTAATGTCTAATATAAAACGTACTATCTGAGTAGACCATCATTGTATTCGGTTGTAATGTTAATATTGAATTTACACTCAAGTGTACGAGCCTCGCGTATTCCCTGGACGATATTCAGGAAGGTCTGGTGCGATTTATTGACAATAACGACGCAAGTTTACGCGGTATTAGTGAAGAGAGTATTGTGTAAGAAGTAGTCCAGTGTTCACTCCGTGTCAGGTACGAATCGTTCCATCGATTGTCTACACTGTCGCCAGGAACATTTAGATAGTGTTATTCGTCAGTTGAATTTAAATAGAACAAGCGACTCCGTCAGCACAGAATAAAAAAAAACTTAATTAGTAGTCTATGTATTCTTCCATGTTATGTTCTAATGGTATGATTAAGGATTACCTTAATTAATATGTATACAGCGTGTATACAAATTTGGTCAAAAAATGTTCTAAAATTTCAAGAAAAGGGAAAAATAAACAATTTTTTGTGCTTAAATTACGAATGTTTTAATCCAATTTTTAACTTCAATTAATAGCTATGTTACTTAGGTAGCTAATACAAAAAAATGCAGGAATATCTTCATATTTGTAACCACAGTGTCTAATAATATGGTGAAGGTTATCAAATTATAAGAAAAGTTACAAAAGTTAATGTAACTTTTAAACAAAAAGAGATGTTTTTTTTAGTATTTTTCCCCGTGTAGTTATCGATCTGGTTATAGACCATTACTGTTATATCGTTGAAGTTTTGGGACACGCCGTATAATCAATTCTCATTAGAAAATTAACTTATTAAATGTCTATTTACTATTTTAAAAAAATGTTTATAATTTTTTTAATTGGTTATTATTAATATAATATTAACAATTAGTAGGTTTTGGTTAATGCCATGACTAATGACTACTGACGTAATGTGAGAGACATAGTTTGATCTATAAGTAAGTAAACAATAAAATGGCTTCTAAATATTTTAATTGTCCTCATGATCTCCATACATTAGTAAATATGTAACACATTAATCATACCTTACAAGAAACCTGATGACTTGGCGATAATAAATTTTGATCTCGCCCCGCGAAAGCTCACGCGCCGTCGATTCTAACCCGCCATTACGATTTGGGAGGCCATTAATATGATGAAAAGCGTACGGAGGTATAATTTGAGTCTCTCTAAGTGTTGTGTGATATATCGAATATATGAATGTTGTATTTAAAAGAATACGAGCGAGTGCTGTGATGTTTCATAACCATATCAAAGTTCATAAAGGTTATGGGTGGTCTGCTTTAAGATAAAAATACGGTTAGTCTCATAATCAGGGGAAAGAATACGAGGAAGGAAATAGAAATGCATAACAATGATTTAACCATATATCTCTTTAGGTCTTGATATTGAATAGTCTAACTTACAATGCAATTTTCTTAAAATCTTCGTTTGAAACATATTGTTAACTCTGTTTTATCAAAGATAACAGGTATGACAATATGTTTTATACTGAGATTTTGGTCTTAAAAACCCACGGTAATGCTTTCAATATTATCTTAGGTTGACTCTACTCTATTTAATTTACATAATAAATATGTTTTGTGTAAGTCTTAGTATTTAGAATTGAGGAGTTTTAATAATATTATTTTTAAAAGGAATATTACTGGAAATAATCGAATCGTGGGCGTCGCAAGCACTTCACGATAAATAGTTCTGGATATTTCTTATTATATTAATTTTTAAAATAGGTCAGATGTACCAGTAGTACCGTAAGCGATATCACAATAGAGTTCGAAAGCTTATAATAGACCTCTTTTGTTAACTAAAAGGCCAATACCGTCCTTATAATTTAAAAAGAACTTTATAAGTTTGATGTACTCGCTTTTATTTATCTGACATAATAGTTCTGTGTTATTATTTAAATAATACATTTCTTAGAAATTTTGTTTTTTAATAGCTTCAATGCAAAAGTAACGCTGATTTTTTCTTATTGTTAATTTTATCTAGGACTCTAACTTTATGTTTCAACTTGCAACAGCTCCGTAAATTCATACTGTTTTCAATACTTTCATTCTATTTAAAAAAAAAAACTGGATGACCGAGCTTTGCTCAGTATTTTCTTTTTTTTTAAATTGTGTTTTTTGGAAATTATATTAAGTACGAATTACTAATAAAATTATGAACTATGAATAATATTTTTCGATATAACCGATAGAAAAAGTTAAGTTTATGTTTAAGTTCATTATCGACAAAACACGAATCAAATGACATTTTCTAAAAATGATTCCTAGCTAGATCGATTTATCGCCCCCGAAACCCATATATACAAAATTTTTTGAAAATCGTTGGAGCCAATTCCGAGATTCCAATTATATAAATATACAAGTATTGCTCATTTAAAGATATAAGATAGATAAAGACACTTTTTGGACACGGTTATTCGGCTACAGAAGCGCAGGTATATATTAATTGCATGAAAAAAAAAATCCGACTTACTATTTTTCTGACCGTACTTATGTGCAGACTTTTGCCATATCCAATTTTGAATGTAAAAATTCGTCTTCGTAATTCGAAGAAATCATTAAAGCTATTTCCATTCAATTTGCTAGTTCGAAGATACATTTTACGATTGAAATCCTTGCCAATATCATGTTAGGATATAACCACTTCAGTATTATTGTTACAACTTGCTTGTTATTCGCTATTTGAAAACTCGAGTGCTTGAAAATTTCAACCGGATCCGACTTACCTATGAAATAAAGAGAACAAAACTCAGAAACGCAAACTGCACTAATAAGTACAATACCAATTCAATGAAAGCAATAAGAGAAAGAACAGATGTTGCTCTCAAATTTCAAAATGTTCCGCATCCTGCCGAGAAAATCTGAAAATCAGTTTTAAGTGTTCATTCCACGGATAAAGCGAAGTTGGTCTAGTCAGATCTATTATACAGTATGTTCTTATGCGTTCGTAGTTTTAACAATGTTTCCTTATGCGGTAATATAAATAAGTTGAAGTTTGAACTTTCATCCACGTGAACTTGGTCACGTGACATGGATCAAAACGGATTAAATCTACTTAAGTAATAAGTTGAAATGTAAAACTGTACTTTTCACGATTTAATTTATAATCTTATAATACTAATATTAATGCGATAGATTTCTAGAACAACTGCATGGATCTGAATGATATTTGCTATTTAGAACATCGTCTTGAAGAACATATAGGTTACTAAGTTTTTTTAAAATTACGCACATACTGATTTGCGGAGAAGTTTTTTTTATAATTGAAAAGCTGTACGTTTGAGCAAGACTACACAGTATAGCGAAGTATATAACAACTAATCGAGAGTATGTATTTAAGTTATGTATTAAGTATATACATACTTATACCTAGTACAGGAATTATATTTGAAAAATAGTGTAAACACGCTTAGGTAAAAAACAATTATAATTTCAAAAAAACTTTATTAAAAAAATCAGAATTATTCAGAACTTATTATATATGTATATACATTTCCATTAGAATAAGTTATTAAAGCTAAAGTTTTCGAAGTAAGTTTTGGATAGAATTGTTGAAGGAAAGTCACCTGTAGTTAAGAGATGGTCAAGTGTGTGAGAATAAAGTTAGGATGAGAAAATAAGCTTTACTTCAAAACTTTGAGAGTTTACAAGTTTATATATGACAAGTATGATTTAGAATAATGGGAATTGTTTGTATTAATTTTAGGTTTATTAAGTCACAGATCACTAGGGTGATGATTTTTTTAAGGTTTGAAGAAATGACTTTAATTCACTTTTGATTCGAGTTGATTTTTGCACACCCCTTATTAAAACGTGAGAACAAAACATGAATATAATTAATCAAACTATTTCAAGGAGTAACAAAACAAAAAGGGGTTACGTTACCCTCAAATGCATTTGACAGGGATCCCAACTGTATAGTTTTTTAGATGCAAATGTAGTAATCAATTATAAACTCTTATTGTTTTTTTTTAATTAAAAGTTAAAAAAATACGTCTTATGTTAAATGTCTTATGTGAAAAAATAATGACACATTATACACAAAAACAAAGGACGTAAATAAAAATAATTTAAAATACTTCCGGAGCCAAGTAATTCGCACTTCCTGATAATTTTTTGTATAACTTAACGTCCCCGTGCGGCTTCCACGCCATATGTTATTTAGCGAAGGATTCATTTCGCAAAACAAAAAACTGCTAACGACAGTCGTCGCGAAAAAAGTTGAATACAATGTTTAATGTCAGTTTTTATTCAGTTCACAGAACAACGGAAATTGGATCTCTCGAAAAAAGTATGTTATGGCCATTACTGGACAGAAAATATACAAATGCAAAATTATTTCTAATTTTTAAAGTGCGATGTAAATGAAACTGTAATCTCTAATTGAATCAAAAACAATTATAAGTTATTTTCTTTATTTTTATACAATAATTTTAGTCAAGTAACAAATAAAATACAGGGTGTAACTTGAGAGTAAGCTTTTATAGGGGTCGAGAAATTCAATACTTATAGATTAAGCCCAATTTATGTTCATCGTATTTATAATTAGACCCGTACAGAACTTTTGATCCACCCTTTCATACCCTGTATAAAGGTATACATTTTCCAGTTCATTTTTTTCAACTGTGCAGCAAACAAATGTTTAGTTCATACGCCCGGAGCGAGCTCCTTGTTTCGTTCTATTCGTATGTACTATTGAGTCCGTTCATCGTTCCTTTGTTTAGCTATATCTTTTTCTTCCTTTAAACACTTTTCAGTGTTGGATATGTGTATTTTTTCCGTCGAACATTCATTACTATAAAACAAAAGGCTCGGGTCATTTGGGAATCGACCACGTCGAATATCCGCCGATAAATTTCAATAACAAAATAGTTATGCGTCTGACGGGAGCGTTATAATGGTCGATACGTTAATTAGATACAGTAGTTAATTAAAGAGAGAAACGAGGTAATCCCTATTGGGAAAATGCGGTCAAAGATAGAATCACTCTTACTGCTAAAATCAATACATATGTGAATTAGTTTAGTCTTCATCAGCCTTACTTGTTCCTTAGTCTTAAAAAACCTAGGATAAATTATTGTTAATAAATGAAGTTATAATAAACTAAAGGATGACAAATAAACCAAGGAGTTTCTATACATACTTTTAACTGTAATAAAGTTTTTGATTCTGCAACATAAACAATACTAGTGAATACAGATAAAAAATATGGATGTCGTATCTTTGCTTTAAAAAAAACATGATCTGACGCTTCATTATTTTGCCTTTTTCTTTCATTTTTATTTATTTCCAGCCAGTAGGCATATACCGTGGAAAGTACGAATGGGTTAGCGAGCACAGCGCCGCGAACGGTGACTGCTCGCTGTTGGTGCGTGCGGCGACACTGCAGCTGGACGACGGTCAGTGGCAATGCCAGGTCACTGCCAGCAATTATAATGTCCAGGTACGTAAAAACTACTTGCTACATAAATTTCATAGGGCCATGTTATATCGTTCACTGAAATAATTATATATACTGCTTTAAAAAAATAGAATAAAGGCACTTATCCACAAAACCTGGTCTGTCGAATTTTATTATAATGTGTTATAGAATCGTACAATACACGTTAATTTGTGTACTTTCAAGGATGCTTTATCAAGTCCACCCGCCGCGTTTGCTGTACGTGTCCCACCACAGTCCCCAAGGATACTTTTCAACGGATCCCACGTGCTGCCGGGACAGAACATCACGGTGCCAGCTGGTTCCAGAGCCACCGTAGTCTGCGAGGCCAGATACGGAAACCCGCCCGCATACATCGAATGGTACTTGGGTAAGTATTCTATTAAAAACTATAAACATTAGCACAATTACCTATTTTTTAACTAATATGATTAAAATTAACTTACTCTGTATACAAGATGTGCTTTAATATTGTGGAAATCAATGAGACAATATCGATAATCACAAAAGTATAAATTACACATCATGTATACTCACTAATAGTGGGTTTCTGAGACCTAAATACCAGCATATATTGTTATCTCTGTTTGTCAAAAAATGACAAGGATGACGATCTGTTTTATACAGAGATTTTAGATTCACAAATGTCTAAACTTAGTCTACTATTAATTTGGTAAGTGATCATAGTTAGTACGTGATAATGGTTCAAAGATCCGATACTGTTGGTGTTTGTTGGACAGAGTAAATTAGGAACTAATCGCACTGAGGCAAAGCTTAGTTTGCAATTTTCAATTGTTAATTAAACAAAAATATAGCAGTACATGGTTTTATAAAATGATCATGTGAAGTACACCCGTATCACAAACCCTAACATAATAGTAATTAAATTAGAGTTCATGAACTGATGTAATAAATGAAGCAGTGCTTGGAACAAGTTCAATTAAGTTTACAATAAAGTGGACTTAATAAATTAAAAAAAAATGTAATATATTTATTTATTTATTAAAAATGTGTACACTTATACAATTAAACAAATAGGTTGAGCGTTGGAGTCTGTCATGGTATGAACTGTGTGACAGCCACCGGCGTCTTTCCTTTATAATATACATAGTTAGCAAATTAGTGCTTGTGTGTGTGTGTGTGTGTGCGTGCGTGCGTGAGTGCGTGTGTTACCGTGTGTCGTTGTCAATTATATTTGTGTTCGTTTCTTGTTTTTATATATAATTGTACTAATAATTTACTACAGTAAAAGTTTTTATAAAATTAAAACTGACACAACTCGGCAATTGGCTGATTGCTTTATATACTCTGTTTGGAGTAGTTTAAATAATAATTATTAGTATAATGTTTTCAATTTAGAAGTGAATAAATTGAATATGAAGAGGAACGAGTTGCAAATTTAAAAAAAAATGATCATTGATTACTGTTTCCATACAATACGTTGGATTAATCAGAAGCATCTAAATATTAATTTTCAAATACATTCTAGAAAGAGAACGATTAACAGCATGGAGTCATACGAACGCGTCTGAAGTGGAAAGACCGCGTGTGTGGGCAGCGCGCTCCGTTCTTGAGATGGGAGCGACCAGGTCCGCGCACGGCAAGCGGCTGAAGTGCCGAGCCCACCATCCCTCCTTCCCACCACCTTACTACCGAGATTCTTATACTATGCTCGATGTTACTTGTAAGTGGATCGGAATACTTTATTAGTTTTCTCTTATTCTTCTAATTAATTTATTTCTCTATATTGACAAAGATATGTAGGTCTCTTCTAATTTCTTGTAGTGAGAATAGCTTAGTATCTGAATGTAACAATTCCTGCTGTGAAGTATAGTACCGAATTTCATCAGAACCGTCTTGATAGTTAGTTGCAAAACTATACGATTACATAAGTTTGTTTCGCACAATTTCCTGCCTGGAACAATTGACTAGTGTAATGATCTGTATCCAGCGGTATTTCCAACCCGATTACACTCAGAGATTGGGTTTTTCGTTCAAAGACAGATGTTCTTACGCAGCCGATAAAACTTTAGTATTGTATTGCAAATTGCTTATGTTTATCTGCAGATGTACCAGTAGTATCTATCATGGGTGCTGATGCAAGTGAACTATCCAGTTTAGAAGAACACATTAGTGTGTTGTCGTTGGAATGTAAAGCGGACGGTAATCCCAAACCTTATGTATGGTGGACGAAGAATGGACAAATCATCGCAACAAACGGCCCTAAGCTCATACTAGCACCTGTAACAAGGAATCATTCGGGTCAGTTAAAATTTTAATTTATTTAATTTATGCATATTTTGGCTGATATCGGTACTTTTAATCGTTGTTACCCAATAGATTTAAATTCTCTCAGCATAGCAAAATGGATGTCTCTTTACGAAAGGATTTTAATGTTACAGGAACATATGGTTGTCAAGCAAGAAATTCCCTTGGAACGTCTGATTCTGTCAAAATTGATATAGATGTTAAATGTAAGTATTATTTAAACCTGACTTTAATATGATTATGCCAGGGAGGGCCATCGTCACGTATCTATTAATAAAATGCGACACAGTATTTTGTCACGCTACTTATCACAATGTTATTTAAGTACTGCTAAATAGGTACGAAAAACGTAGCTAATATGTTGAGAACACACAAAAGACAATAATTATTAATTATAATAATGATAATGGCTTGATTCGTGGATAGCCTCAAAAGACGAACACTTCTGGCGTCAATTCATTCGAGCTCTACCAGAAAGATGGGAAAAAGTTGTGTCTAGCGATGGGCAATAAATACTTTGAATGATTCATTTGTAACCATTTTTCAATAATAAAGTTATATTTTTATCGAAAAAAAAGCGAGAACTTAGTTGCGCACCTAATACAAAGTCAAAATTATTTGATGGCAGGTCTATGACCTCATTCAAAATTTGTTTAGAAAAAGTCGCTCCTGAACAAAGACATCTTACATCTTTGTGTAATTATAAAACTTTTTATTTTAATCAATTTCAGATCCACCACGTGTTACATGGGTTGGCCCAGATTACATAATTGATGCCAATCTATTTTCACAAGTGACTCTGGAGTGCAGAGCTGAGGGAAATCCACATCCTTTATACCAGTGGTATCATAGGTAAAAATATTTCTGTTCCCAAATACCTATTAAACTATTCCATCCAATGTACAAAACATTTTTTTTATGCAAACATTTTTCGTTATTTTAGACCAGAATCTACTATACATTCTAACGACAACAAGATATTTGATGATGATTACCTCATATCGTCCACGACTCAGCTTCAACTCCACAACGTATCTTATCATCAACACGGAAAATACATTTGTGTTGCCAAGAATTACATTGGACACGAGGAAAAGTAAGCTATAATTGACCTATTTTTCTGTGTCTTTACAACCTTTTTCTCCAATTTAACGTTTCAACGATGGCAAGGTTAATATTGATCTGGTATACCAAATTCTATTTTAAATTAATGAAGTTATTCTGATTTATCTTTGGATACATTTCTGTTCTATGAAAGTGTGGTGATTTTAACAGTGTTTGAGAACCAAACATTAATTATTATTATACAACTAAATTGCATAAAATGTTAGTGCATAAAATTCAAACTCAAAATAATTTCAATAGAATCCATCTATCAGAAGAGATAATATTGAAAGTGCTGGGTCCGCCGATGGGCTTTGAGGCGACGTCGGTGCACGCGTGGCGCGGCGGCGAGGGCCGAGTACACGCGACCGTATGCGCTTCGCCAGCCCCTGACGACGCTACGTGGATGTGGGGCAGTTGGAGACTTGATGTGCCATCAGAGATCGGTAAAAAGACAAACTTTCCCCACAATTAAGACAAAACACGATTTTTTAGTAACCGTAGTTATTTTATTAAGACCCTAACTGTTATCCTTCACGAGTTTATTGGTTACATCATGACATTGTTATTATTGTAAAGTGTTTTAGCTTGTTGTGGTGATCTGATGTCCATGGATTGTTCTTAACTGAGCTTATCATTTCTTATCTCTAAGATATCTAGGTCCCTACGCCAGATATTACTTTAAATTCATAGACCCATTTTTCTATTTAGTTTTGCAACGTAACCTTAATCCGGGAACCTTGTTACGGTGATTTGCTTCTTTATCTTTTATTAGCTTGTAATAATGTTTTTAAATATTTACAGGGCGTTACAGAGCTCTAGATAAAGAAGAAGTAGATGGTTGCTATCGTTATACGCTGTGTATTGACGATGTGGGCCAGCCTGATGCGGGCGACTACATTCTGCACGTGGAGAACGAGAGAGGATTCACTTCACTCACCGTTTCCCTTATTGTACATGGTAAGTGTGAGATTTTTTTCATTTGTGAAGTAAAATCCATGTTTTTTTTAATATTTGTTACAGTAATTATCCATTTTTTCTGTTTTTTCTGTAAAATTGTTGAAGAGTGTAATTCCTCTGGTGCTACGAGGTCGTTAAATAGATTTAAAGCTGTGCATTTTTCTTATATAAAGGGCATCGTAGCTAACAAAACCAATTTAATTATTAGAAATAATAATTTTTCGTTAGTTTGTAAGCTTCAAGTTCATTAGACTAAGTGCCGATTTCAACATTATTAAATGTTTGGTAAGGAAGAATCCCATAGTGAAGCAACTATTTAAAAAACTCTTGGACGTGTTTGAGTGCGGCAGTTAATATACATTTTTTTAATTTTTATTTTTTTAAGTTATGTTGTGTAGCAAATATTATTAATTGCCGTGATATCTCTTCACGCAGACAATTTTTCGGTAACAGAGGCGACGCGTGCTGCGCCCGTTATCGCGGCTGCTCTTGTCATCGCCGCACTTGCTGTCTTGTTGCTGTGTGTTGTAGTGCGTTGTCGACGACGAAGAGGTAAATATCTATCTAGCCAAATGTATAAAATAAGAAAATTACGTAGACCAACACTAAAAAGGTCTTATTCAACATTCATCTATTTACAGTGTGAAAAATTTTAATTTAAAAGTTGTAAATGGTATGTTTTATTTTATATATTTTCTTGATTTCAGGAAGTGTCGAATATAAGACTGATGAATTAAACAGGTAAGTGCAATTAACTATTAATAGCTAAGACACTAACCGCAGGTTTCTGAGTCCATGTTTAAAACATATTGTTACTTCTGTTTTGTCAAACATAATGAGAGAGTTGACGATATGTTTTGTACACAGATTTAGGGCTCATAAACCAACGGTAAATATTTTGGATTATCTAAATATCTTATTAAACATTTTTTTGTTTCTTTTAACAGTGAAGTCAAGGTGTTGCCAGCGGACGCATTATACGGTCCTCAGCCGTCCCAAGGCTCCAGCGACAGTCGACATGCTGGAACCACGACTGTTGAGACCAGTTGCCCGCGTTACTCACCAGCAGCTATGCAAGTCCGTCACGCTGCTGTGGTATTGCAGCCGCCCACAACTGTGTGATCTATGGACAGGTATGATAATTTGATAATCACTGTTTTCAACTTTCATGGGAGGCGTTAAGAAAGAATTCGTTGGTAGACATCTTCCTTAGTTAAGAGTACTTACAGTGCAATCCACGTAAACATTTTTTAAGTAAGCTATCTATAAAAATGTAGGTTGAATTGGATAACAATCTTTAGCAGAATCTAAGTTTAAGTGATCGTCTGTCTTTGTTTTAAAGTTAAGAACGGACAGGTTTATAATTGAACATAATCCAGAACTTAATGAAACATTCAGTTTTAAGTAATATATTTCTGTGAAATAATTCAGTTGTTCTTTTGTTCCAGAATGCGTGTGACACCGCAGTGTAGTGTCAAGTGTGGTTGTAAATAAAAAGGGACCATTTGATTATAAACTTTGATTCATAGCAAAGTACATGTAATAAGCACTCATAGTAAGGGCTAAGCTACGCTGAGTAACGTTAAAACATCATACATAAGGGTTAAATTAAGTATTCACTTAGTTCAGAAAAAAGAGCGAATCATGCCTCTGAGTAAGAAATTAGTAAGTTCACTTAATAAACACATGAAACACTTTGACTGCTTAATTGTAAATCTGGAATTTAGTTTACACAATTTTGAATTAAAGTTTAGCATGTACTAATAATCTTTACATAGCAAGTGTTTTATATACTAAATACTAATACTCCTTTATAATTAAATACCAAGCTTGTTACCTTTTAAGGTAATTAAATAAGTAAATATGTAAGGTATGGTAGGTTTTTGTATAAAAATGATTAAATGTAAAAAAATGTACATAGTTGCATTTAATAAAATAAGGAGATTGTAAATATTTGTAAATAATATATCTAACTAAATTAAGAAGCTGTCGCGGGATTAAAAAGTGGATAGTCGATTGTCAGACTAACCGAATATGCAATATAAGTTTATAAAAATCAGCCAAGCCGTTCGGAGGAGTACGGGAACGAAAATTGTGACACAAGAATTTTATATTTTATATTATATAAAATAATCATTCGTACTCTGTTATATTTAGATTTTATTAATGCACAATTTCTTTGAGGTAATATAAAATTAGTGTTGTGATAGTACTTAACTCTTTTATAATCTTCTTATCGTTGGTTTCTGAGACCAAAATGTCTGTATATAATACGTCTTGTATGTTTTGAAGGGATATTTCGGTCTCAGAAACTCACGATTAATAATTCTTTTCTATCAGCCATTACGGCACTTACATATGTTTATTTATAAGTCGTCATCAATAATTATAACCAGTAACATTATATATATGAAAGTAAACATTGCATTACATCTAAGTAACTTTTTAGTATAACTTAATATAACTTAGTATATATTTAGATTTCACACGATACCAAAGATATCAACATAGATGTATGATAAATTAATTTAAACCAAAGCTAGGAAAGTATTGATTTAAGATTTGCAGCTGCAAAAAAGTATTTTTGTCGAATAATTAAAGCTGATTATTATTTAATTTGTTATTTCCAGGTAGTTATTACTAAAATAACTCATCAAAAGCTCACTATACGTCCTTACTGAGGGGTTCGGAACCTACCCTAAGTTAGGGGTGACTAGGCCATAGTCAACCACGCTGGCCAAGTGCGGGTTGGTTGACTTCACACATATCTTTGAATTTCTTCGGAAATATGTCCAGGTTGCATCACGATGTTTTCCTTCACCGTTAGAACATCACATAAATGTACATATGTAAATCGAAAATCGAAAGACACATTGGTACATGGCAGGATTCGAACCCAGGACCTGCACATTACAAGTCAAGTGCTGTAACCCCTGAGCCACCGGCGCTGTCAATAATAACTAAACAAAACGATTAATTTAACCTTTTATTTATATTATCAAAGAAATATTAAAATAAATATTTACTATAATAAAAAATATAATTAGATACTGTTTAGTTAAATGTTTTAACCCTTTGAACGCCGGTGAAATATATTATAGACTTCAAAGAGGTTATATACTCACAATAAATAAGTATCACTGTCTACTATTGGTATAAGATTTTCATTATTTATTTGTCAAGAAAACATTTAGCAAGCCTACGCACTATACTACGCACTATAATGTTTTCAATAACCATGATTTATCAAAAATCCAATCTGGGCGTTATAGTCTCGGTATAAAAAGTTGACGTATGTTTAAGCTAAAATTTATTTGAAATATTGTTTAATTTTTTTATAGTAAGTCTCTATAAGTTTAAAATAGCATTCAAAAGACAAAGGATTTGTTACAAATCTGGTATTACAAAGTTGCAAGATTTGTAGCAAACGTTTCGCGCCGCACTCACTTATGCGATTTAAATCAGTTGAATCACTGATGTGTTTGTACCTATAAATAAATAATCAGAAAATGTTTAATCTGTTTCTTATTTACCAAAAACTTTGAAATATATCTTCAATATTAATGGAATAAAACGTTTTGAAATATTTATACATACGTACATAATAAAAAAAAACTTTTTCAGGATTTTTTTAGTTGTGTCTGTTGGAATAATACGCAGAATAAAATGCTTTAATCCATTTATATCGCACTCTTTCGTTATTATAATGTAATTTACTCATTTATCTTACATAGATAAATGAGTAAATCTTTTCTCATCGTCAAATTTATTCAAACTGATTCAAAATCTTGCACCAGACTACGGACGGTCACATTAACCATAATACGAATAATGTTGACGCATTGATTTAATTTTAAAGAAATTATACAGTATCCGAGGTCAAGTATTATGCAAAGGTAGCTCGAGACGCTAACAGTCACAAACAAGGTATCGGATTCATTTGAATTCGGAGTAATAACAGTAAAGGAATGTTTTTGTTAAATTTCTTACAGCAGAGACGGAATTCCGAAAATTATATCACATCATCTCCCTTCAAAGTTCAGAAGCAAAACCCTAATTAATTATCTTTACAGATTCAAATGCCATAAATTCATAATAGCTGTCACCAGCTAGATAAGGTTTTAAACAATTGTCATGTCATCGTAATTAAATTGATATAAAAACAAAAAAAGAGTATGTCAGAATTAAGTTATAGTGATTTTCAAATAGCGTGACATGTGTATTCGAAAACTGTTATCTCTGTTTTTCCCACGAGAATAAGAGGGATGGTAATATTGTCTTAATGCAGACGATAGGACAGTGGAAACTCACCTTAACGTGGCGCATGTCGAGTAAACGCGAAAAGCTACCCTATTGGCTGAAGCTTGTTCTAAATATCATGAAAATTAGCACTGCCCGCCAGAGGCTTTGGGAACGGCAACGCGAGCGGTTCTTGTCCATATCGAGTCCTGTTTTTGGAAAACGACTTCCCTAAAATATAGTTTTAAAGAGGTAAGTCATCTTTTAAACTTATTTTGATAGTATTAAAAAGAAAAGCTTTAATTCTGAATAGATGCAACTTGTCTAAATATGTTTAAAATAAACAAAAATTTCTTGTTTGGATTTTCAATTTACAGATGCGCATATAAAATTACTATTTATCAGTGTACATGTCACAGGCAAATTGCGAAAGTCGCCAGTTTGTCATTTAGCAAATTGCGCATTGAGCGAATTCATTAGCATAATACATCAAAACATAACTTGTCATTTAAAATGAAACACAGTGAAAATTTTCAAGAATAAAAGACATAAAACTTATAATTTTTTTTTCAGATTGTAGTCCAGAATGACGGGAGAAACGCCCACATCATCAGAACAAGAACTCGGTGAGAATGATGAGTTCAGAATTAGTTCAACGAGTTGCACACGTAGAGTGTTACACATTTTCAGAAATAACAATAACGATGACAACGCCATCAATAATAATAACACAATGATGGTGTGCATTCAAAATCTTGGTGATACTGCACAGAATATATCAGTGGAAATGACTTCTACGTCATCCACTTTTACTACAAGGATTAGTATGCGTAGTAACCAGAATGATATACCAAATATCCCATCATCGGATGACTACGAATCTGACGACGGTTGTGAAGAAGAAAGCGATGTTGATAATAACGACAGAGATGATACGTCTCCTGATAATCAAGATAACTCAAATACAGACAACGATAACGGTGAATCGACCGATACAGCTTTATCCGTTGAAGAAATTGAAACATTAAAACCAATAACTGATGATGAAAGCAGTGATAAAAAAAATGTAGCCGACGAGGAAAATAATGATCAAAAAAGAGCATTATTTAAAATAAAAGCGAGACCACGAAAACGTGTCAAGAATGAAGAAAATAATCCGGACCGCTAAACAACTTGAATGCAATTTAAAGTTACTGACTCCACTTAATATTCAATATCTAAAAATATATGTATTGTAACAAAGCGCTAAGGATTATTCTTAATATATATCTTTTTACAAAAAAAATTAAAATACTACACAATTATAATTAAATCAGAACTGGAGTTAGTATAAACAGGAATAAAATTTTCCATAATATAACATAAAGAAAATGCTTGATTTTTCTTAAACGATGTTTTAAAAAATATAATATAAGTAGCACCTGTAGTAAAATGAAAGAAAATAAAACTATTAAAAATTTATCGAGTGTTTTATTTTATTAACTTCAAATAAAATTTTCTGTCCATATATCGAAATAGAACGCTGTACAAAGCCCTTAGAGCAAGATATTAAAAACATAAACATAGGTAGTACATGCATACAGGCTTGCCCCTGAGACAAAAATACGACGCAGTAACCTTTTTATAAAATGTTTCCATTCCTACGAGTAACAACAGATTTATTATTTAACAGACTTGTTTGCTGTTGATATAATAATAAGCTACCTATTTGTACAGTATGATCAAATTTTCGATCTTAATAAGGGAGAAAATAAAAGGCATCAAACACTACTGCGCATGACGGGCATCCAGTATGAAAACAGCGCCCTATTGGCTGAAGCTTTGTGTAGATGTCATGAAACCGGAGTGCGTCCGCCAGAACCTTTGGGTAAGGCATCGCGGCCGGTCTCCTTATATTTCTATTGAAATTTTCATAAAGGAAGTGATACAAGTTTTTCGACTCTAAAGTGTCATAGTGGTAAGTTTTCTCTTGAGTTTGTTACTATTTTTACCTTATCTGTTTGTAATTGATATAATAATAGAGGTTTATTTAGGTTATTTATAAAAAGATATTCCACAAGTGTGTGTTACTTTGTTGTAAAAAAAGTGTTGTTTTAGTGATAAGTTAGGAATCTAATATCGTATTTTTGATATAAACATACGCTAGCTTGATTTTATCCGACTTTGAAAATATAAATAAAATTGAATTTATTTTAGGCGTCATTTTAAAACTATGTTAAAATATACTATGATAGGAGAGAAACTGCATTTTTTATATTTTTGTTTGTTTAAATTTCTTATCGAATATGTATTATTAATTTGTTGTAGTATTATGAAAAAATTACAAAAAAATGTTTTTTTTTTAAATCTTTGGTTTTTATTTATAAAAAGCATTAAAATCTTAAGAATACTACGTTTTATTTAATGTAGGATCACCAAAGTTTCAGCTTTAATTTTTAAGAAATTGTTAAACCGTAAAGCCATTTGCCGTCGGCCGTCGGAAAAATGTAAACTGAGCGCAGCTTATGAAATATTTAGTTGTCCGTCGTGTTTTCAATGTGCTAAATTAAGATCAACATAAACAGATACTTTACTATAGCATAACTATTGATAAGATTTAACTTTTTCTACTCATTGAAATATTATTCATGTCGACGCAATTTACAAAATAATCCATTTTTTTTTCAAACTAGCGAGCGGCCACCTGAAATCGCTGTAATAGCGAAGTGACCATTGCCCACATACATACGCAATTGCATATGCGTTGCCTACCTTTAATCGCACATTAAGAAAATATTTTCCCTTCCCATGCACCCTCTCATCCGAAAGTCCACTTCCAGTTCCCATCCTTTCCTTATAAGAAAAAGAGCACGCAAGGAACGCAAACTCATCAGACGAAACGCGGAATGACTTTCACTTCACGCCTACATTCTGTGTGGTGGTATTTCACAGGATGAGCCGGGCCAACTCTTGCGAAGATGTTAAAGTGGGCTCTACCACTGGTAAAATAGGTTTTATGGTTTGTTAAATTCATGTCAATTTTTATTTCACAGGTCATAAAGTCAATCGAAAAATTAGAAGAGTCAGAATGACTGAAGCAACGTCCTCTAAACAAACAGAACCACAGAACGATCAGAGCGATGACTCTATGAATATTACAGCAAATGAAGATAGAGGTACCTCAGAACAAGCAGTGAACGAAGTACCAATAGCTTCAACAAGTAAGGATGGTACTCAGCCAGATTCGACTTGTAAAAGTGAACCTCAGACTTCGTCAGGACGTGGCCCATGCTATCGTCAACTTTTCAATGACACGAATAAAGATGGCAGCAACGATCCATATGATCTATTAACATTTTCAGACGACGACATCACTGATAAAGACGGGTCTGCTTCATCGGATAATTCTGAATCAAATCATGACGCTGATTCTGACAATGATGAAGTTAATACAGATATTGGTAATGAAACTGTCATGAAGAAGAACGTTGGGATAAATGTAATGAAAGAAACTGAAAGTAAAAAACCACAGAAAATGGTAATTGACGATAACATCGATTCTAGCGATGAAGAAGATTGCGTCCTAAGCAAGTTAGCTTCCAACGATGGCGGTGAAACGAGTAAAACTAAAGATGCATCTATCGTCCCAGAGGAAAAAAAACCAGACCTCAGTTCAAGTTATGGAGACACAAATTACATCTTAAGCCAGGTAAAGACAACCAGTCATTATGGGGGTGAATGTAGTAAAACCAAAAATGAATCCGAGAAAGAGGAAAACGAAAGTTCAAGCGACGAAGATACAAATGACAGTTCTAGCTCCGAACAGACAACTTACCAAAAATCCAATGATGAAGGAACTGAGAACATCTCAAGCCACGCAGAATCCACTGATGGTAACGAATCTACTAAAACTGAAGTTGTACTCCCCACTTCAAGCAATGAAGGGCAAGCTCAACCTAAACCGCCCCTTAGAAATAAAGCAGAACGAAAACTGAACTATACTGTCCCCTTCAAAAAATTTAAAAAATTTTAATTATCTTTCTATTACTATTAATGTATCGATGTGGTGTAGATAAAATACAAGTTAAGTTATTTTCCGTTGTGCAATGTGTGTAAACATAATATAGTAGAAACATAATTTGATTCTCCTTGAAATTACGTAGGAAGTTTAATCATTGTTCAGTGCACCAACGCGATGTCGGCCGAATTATCATTTTCTCCCAAAAAATATGTATTATGTGTTTTTAATAGTTGTTCGATATAATTAAAATAAATGGTGTTAAAAATATATTTAGTTTTATTTTCATTATTCCTCATACTTTTATTTTTGTATCTGACTTCTGTATGTTTTCACAGATTTGTTTATTTATTGGAACAATTTTCTTTTTTTACTGTTAAAGATCTTTATTACGAATTATTAAACAATAAATCATGGATAAAATTTAATGCTATTTTTTTAATATACATTTATCATAATTATCAATATCAACTTAAGCCTTTATAATCTTTGGTTGTCTTTTTCCCTTAACTTGGTGCCGCCATCTATTATAGTAATACACAATTAAGACTTAACAAAATATCTGTTTTTCTTTTCTAATCTAGTCAGTAATGCCATCTTTTGTTGAAAGTAAGAAACGCTGAAAGGAACTATTTCTTTCCTTAAATCAAACATAATTTGAACATGCTTATAATAAAATGATAACTAATTAAATTATAAATAGTTTTTAATTATTATTTTTTAATTCCTAAGATTTAAAGTAGTGCTGGTCGAATATCATTAGTCTTGTTCCTTGTGTCTTAGTTTTAAAAATAAAATTTACTACCATGTCCTTTCCATTTACATGCCGTGGTAATAGACACACTTTCTGGTTGATAAGAATATTTGAATAGCAGTTGAAAACATTGAAAAGAGGTTAAGGTTTAATACGAGACCAATATTCCTTGATGGCGACATTCTTATTTTAAAAATGTATTAGGTTTTTTTTATATAAAAGAAGAATTGCTAACGAGCAGTGGGAATACAGAGGTAGTCATCGACGCCCATAGACTTCCATAATACCAGAACCAACCAAACAATAACACCCAGGAACTGCAGATGAGTTGCCAGCTTTTGGGAAGGTTAAGATAAATAAAGTGTAGACGTGATCTAATTTTTATTTATTTCAACATAAATTACAATGATGACAGAATTATAGACTACTATAAAACGAGTAATGAAATGCGATTTCTATGTATTCTATAAGTTACATTGATAAACAAAATATCTTTAAAAAGTAAAGCTATTAATTTCGCACTAACGCATATCGACTTGCACAGTGGTGATTCTGGAAAAGAAAATATTTTCCAAATTCAAAAATTGAATTTAATATCAATTACATTATAATATGAAATTGCTCTAAACTATAAAGATTGAATAAAACAGATTTACAATGTAATGTAAAATACTTGAGAGAATAATAAGTACTACATTTGAAAACCCGTCAAACACTAATAAGCATAAAAGACAAGATTTTGACTACAGAACTGGGATACATAGATGTAAATTTACATCTTTTTGAATTTCTTGTAAGGAAGGCAGGTTTTTTTCTTATGCACCTTCTTCGATTTGACCGTTGTGATCAAGATTCTTATAGCATTAGGAATGCGTGGAGGCAAGTGAGACAGTCTTATCCTTCTTGTTTGGAATCGTTTCTGAGATTTATATTTGATACTGTACTCAGTACCATCAGGTTTGTTTACTATTATGCATGGGATATTTTCAATCCAAAGTTTTTGGAATCTTGCCAAAGCTGGGTCTACAACTGTTGCTGGTTTGTTAGCTTCGTTCTTTGCTTCATTGTTGTCGCCCTGAAGTTTAGGATTACCCTTGTTATCATTATTGTCCCTATCATTTGGAGCTCCAGATTTTAGTTCACTCATTTTGGGTTTTCGAAATCTGAAAAGAAGTAAAATTTGTTTTTTATTATTGTTAAATAAAATCGAAGCTAAATGAAAAAGACGTATGATTTATTAGTTGCTATGTGATTTTTTTAAATTCTAGAATATAAAACATAAAACTAGTATTTATAAACGAAACACTAAATATAGATGTGATAAGAAATAAACCTACAAATATTGGTTCACCAGCTCCTTCTCAAATATATTTATAGACTATCCATAAGAGCCTGTATTGATCGCTGTTGAAACCTTCATATGTGTAGGCGAGTTACAAAGGTTAAACTGAATTCAACGAAAAATCCGCTATAAATAAAATGAAAGCACAATCTTAATTAAATACATGCAACAAAACAATGACAAAGATATAATAAGGCAATAACAGCAATATTTAAGAAATAACTTACCCCTTTGTAAATATTTTCGTCGAGAAATAGTTATCCTGTGCTGCAGGAACTACACTGGACCGCACCCGAATGCGAGACGGCTTTGTCGGACGGGGTTTACAAGCTGGCAACTAACTAGCCAATGCGAAATGGGTGCGCGGTCATAAATTTTCGACATGCGCTTTAACACCTTTCTTTATTCCAATTTATTTCAAAATAAACCAATGATTTAAAATAAATTCATTTTGATAATGCCAATTATGAAAGGAGATTTGATGATAAATAGTAAAGAGCTAGTAGCTAAAATATAAAGGCGTGTGGGAAGTTTAGTCTCAAGTTGGCGAGAACCCTATAGGTGACCTAGGTCAATGACCTAATTCCACTATTGAAATTATTACGGGTCATAGCTACATCTCAGGTGACGCGCGCAGCAGTTATTGCAAGGAAATATACAGCTACTATCCACGCCATGTTTTAATAAAAAGTAATGAACCAAGATAACTAGTACAAATTAGTTGGTATCAATTAGATATCGTTAACAATATAATAAAAACAAAGATCAATAATATACCCTTGTATGATTTAATAAATTAATACAGTTCTTATTTGCTCCATAAATTTGCAACTCTACATTAACACGTTAGCTGCCAGTATGATTTTTCGAAAAACGATTTTTTTTTAAACTTGTCCATTACCAAAAAATATAGTAATACCTTATTTACATTGCCACAGCGAGGTGTTGAATGGAAGTATGGCTTGTCGGACACATAGTCTGACACGGCCCGATTGAAACATTATCTTGTCTGTCATATAGTCCGACATGGCAGCTAACGTGTTAATATAGTGTGCCGAAAATTGATGCTATGATACAAGATCACAACATATAAAATAAATAGAATACTACTAGCATTTAGTCAAAGAAATAATATTTCCTTAAATATTATAATAATAGAAATTTCCAAAAAGCTATAAGAAAATACAACTAAATAAATTACTAGGAAAGTGGTACTACGCTAAGTAACTATGGATGACACAGTGATAAGTATTATGATTTAGGTTTCATTGTTTATGTAATATTTTATTGAAAAGTTGAGTTCAAAAGTCGTCCCAGGTGATAACCCTACATTAAACGTGATGCTATATGAAGACATTGCTTTCCTTTCGCCAACCATACTAGGCTTTCATAAGGTTGCCTTCTTCTATTATCTGTAAACAGCGCCATCTTTTGCCGGATTTACAACGTCGAGTGTGTGCAAGCCGTAGCGAGCTTACCAGGAATAACAGGCAGAACAATTCGTAAAATTATTGTAAGTTCTTTTTGTAAGATGGCGCTAAAACATAAATATATGTTAAAAACCATATTTAATTTGTTGTAAAAGATGTCGCCAGGTGAGTCCGTGGCACAGAATGTGTTAGGTTTAATGTAGAAATTTATCGAAAACGTATAAAATTCTTTTTAACCGACTTCAAAAAGGAGGAGGTTCTCTATTCGTCTGTTTGTTTCAGCGCTTTATTGTGCGGTAGACGTTCTTAAATATTACTAAACAGTCAAAGTATAAAACATTCAAAAACTAATATATTAATTCTACTACTTAGTACTACTCTTTCGCATTAGTTTAATATTTACTCATTACATAAACTTTATAACATGAAATAAAAATTTATCTTAAATATACCCAAGCATCTATATCTTACTTAATGATGTTTAAAGATTGATTCTAACTTAATGAAATTCCGATGTTCAAGTTAGTTACCAAGTATTTAGTACACAAATCGCCAAAGACATAGTTTGAATTTTGTTAAACTTTATGCCCAGAAAACTAATCGTGGATTTCTGAAACCTAAATTCCTATTTAAAACATAACATATCTCTGTTTTGTCAAAGATAATAGGGATGACTATATGATAAAACATACAACCGGACAAACAAGCAGTAACAACGTATTATTTAAAATTAATAACTCTGTTTAATAGGGACTAATCTAGACTTTTTTATTGTAGATAAAATTAAAAAACACACTCATCTTAAGTTGCTCATAGAGGAGTTGATTCACACTTGATTTCATCAATATTTAGAGCGATAAGAAAAGTTTATTATTTATATGCCTTTTCCGAACTGACCACACAGACGTCACAGATTACGTCGCAATATTACGTTTACTTTTAGAGTTGAAATTACTACCATTACTACTCTCAAAAGGTGATACAATGAACAGAATTAATCAAGAAATAGTTCATCCAACGTTACTATATAAATACTAGCTGTCGCCCACGGCTCCGTCCACGCGGGATTAAAAATAGATGTTGGCCAATTCTCAGACCTACTCAATATGCTCACAAAATTTCATGAGAATCGGTGAAGCCGTTTCGGAGGAGTATGGGAACGAAAATTGTGATACGAGAATTTTATATATAAGATAATCTTTTCTTCTTAAAATTACGTTATATCGTGTCCATATCTTTAGCGATAGTTTTACTGACTTATGGTCATTAAATATGAAAATATCACAATCAACTTAATGAACAGATTGTGTAACAAGTTAGTGCCAACGAAATTTGGCACAGCACTATCACACAACACTGGCCAAAGTGTACGGTTCTAAAGTTGGGGATACATTTCATCCCGTCACTAGTAAGCAGTAAATCCAAGCGCCGCTGCCGGGATGGTATAAAACTATCCTTTTATACGTTATCTAGATTTATACAACTTTGTCAAAACTATATCATAGCATCAATATTTGACATAAAATTAACTATTCTTTACACTCCTCACTTTTAATGTTACTCACAGTTCTTACGTTCTGCTTATTTTTATTATTAAACTTAAGAATTACTCAAGTGAGGGTCGGTGACTCAGAGGTTAGCACTTTACTTGCAATCTGCAGGTTCTGGGTTCGAATGTATTTCTCGATTTACATATGTACTTTTATCCGATGTTCTTACGGTGAAGGAAAACATCTTGAGCGCATATCTGCGAAAAAATTCAAAAATATTGAAGTCAACCCGCAGTAAGCCAACGTGGTTGACTATGACCTAGTCACCCCATACTTAGGGAAGGCTCCGAGTCCCTAAGTGGGGACGTTTAGTAAGCTGATGACTACCGACGTCAATAATCGAACCTTAAGATTAATGAGAAAATCAATTACTTTGTATGATCGAAAGTAGAAGATTGGATTGATCGATAAACCAGATTAATTAAAATATACTTTTCAGCTGTAACTCATCTATAACATGAATTAAACCTAGGTAATAAGTACAAAAGTTACGTGTATTCATGATAGAAATTATGCTCTAGTCATTTGTTTGTCTGAAGCTTCGGAAACGGAAAATGATGAGTGACTGAGTCAGCTTTGGGTTGAAGCAGTATATTGCGAAAATCACTGATCCTTACAGCCTGTTGTTGCCCTGTTCGAAATTTACATCACAAATTAAACTTGTGTGGAAACAAAAGTGACCATTAAGAGTTTTTGGGCTGTGAAATTTTTTGTCATAAAAACGCAATCTTACAAATGCGAATGTTTAGATGAATAGATGGATGTTTGTTTGAAGGTATCACCAGAACAGCTGATTGGATCTTGATAAAACTTGGCATATGTGGAGAACATAGCCTGGAAGAACACATATACTACTATTTTTTTTTGTATCGATCGCTAGTAGCCTTATAGACTTATCTAAGTTACATAAATGAATTGAAGTATGTAGTTCAGTTTGCTTCAGTTAAAAACGTTGTTATTTTTCTACTTTACTTACCTACTTAACATTGTTTTTGGTGACGTAATATTGGTCAAGGTCAAACTAATGTAGAGTTTACGTTAATAGTCCCCTAAAATATATTCCCATACTATTATCTAAAGTAAAGTGTTAATCCAGCAACTGCTATGTTTCTGATAGATTTTATAAAGATCTTTGTGTGTTACAAGGTTTAAGTTTACACATACGATAGTTATAGAGCCATACTTTAAGTGATTAAGCAACTAAACCTATTATTTTACATTCACAGTTCTCAAGAGAAGCAGAGGTTAAGAATTACAATTACCTTGACCATTTTAACATGAACTTATCGTCTTGTGAAAGGTAAGTTCGGATGATTAGTTGTGTGACCTTGAAGGATTGTTTTTACACATTAAATGCCGTGATCTGAGTCTTTAAATGATAGAGTTAGAATTAAACGACTCTAACCGTGGGTGTCTGAGACCAAAATCCCCATTTCAAATCTACTGTTATCTCCGTTTTGTCAAAGATGAAAGTGAGATGCCGATATGTTTTATATAGAGCTTTTGGATTATTTGCAGACACGGAGATAAGTATGGTATTAAAACACATTGCGTTTTTATTTTTTTGGACAATACTATGTTTTTTAGGAATATTTTAAGCATATTTTCTACTCCTAAAAGTATAATAATAAATAAAATTAGTTAATGATGTTACTCCTTTCCTGAAGAAAAATATTTACTTATAAAACTGGAGCGATGTTTCTCTATATTCAATATTGAAAAGCATACCCAATACTAAAATCCGCAGCACATGTTACAATGTTTTTCTATTCGATTTCCAGGTAAAGGCATTTTTTCTTTCATATTTGTAAAATAAAAATTACGTCGGCTTAATTCCATAAACTCTGCTATGTCGAAAGATAACATAGGCTTTTTTGAATTTTTAAGAGATTTTAGAATGTAAACCGATCTAATAATCTACTCCCTTCCCCTATGTTTACTTTCAAAGAATTTGCTTACTCAATAATTCAAACATACAAAAGTTATTAGAAACCAAGTCTACCTACGAGTATATAATATCCCCTCACCAGCGAGGGTAAGGTAAAAACAAAGAATAAATTCCGTTCCCTTGTCTACGGTTAAAGGTCGCCGCTGTCTAGAGGGATACCTTTCAATCGTTCCCAAATTCAATTATCCTATGCAATAGGGGGTCGGCAAATGTTTGCCTAAAGCACATAAAGCAAATAGGCATAAAAGTATGGCATAACAGCATTTATGATAACGTCTCATTGAAATGAAGTTATAACATCGTCATATCAAATAATTACGTCTTCTCAGCTATCACCCTTCCGCCATCTTCGAAAACTAATTGAACTAGCAAAATGGCTCGATCACCATAGAGGTCGTATCATTATATATCATTGCCGTCTCGGCGAAGTTTACAGACCAAGTTCTAATAGCTGAGTGATCTGACTTTATCAGTTTTGTCAAAAAAATTGTTTCCCGTTGAAGAAATATTATTAATTTTAGTTGCATAAATATACTTCTGATTCCTAAATTGAATCTGCTTTTGGTTGGTATAAATAAAATTTAAATAACTAGAATATTTTATAACCATAAAAAGACAGCATTTGCGGAATATTTTCCGTATTCCGTTGCTAGCCATTTGTTCCAAGTTTCAGCACACCGCGGTGAGATAAGAGCCCGGACTAGCCCGTGTGTTCTGCACGTATCTGAACGGCTTTTACATATTCGAATACGTGGATTTGTTCAAAATATCATACGCTCGGTTTGCTATTTACTGCGAACAACTGTTTCACTGTATCTTAAACATAATGACTAGGTGGAGGTTTATTTTTTATTAGTGTAGCCTATAGCCTATATTGCCAAGGGATAATATACGATTTTCGGAATTAGTCTAGTAGATTTTAAGTATGCGTTTCAAACATTCATCTGTGTAATTAACTATCGTGTAGATAATTAACGTATTTATTTGCCTTTAGTATAATTTATTCCAACATCCCATTACGATGAAAACTTATATTGCAAAATTATGACTTTCACTTGGACGTTAACACAGAGTACCTTTCTCTAGTCGCATCGCTTCGCTGGACACAAGAAGATGAGGTCTTGTTGAGTCGATTTTAATTCAAGACCAAGTTTCTTCCATAACAAACTAAAACTTATAACTCTTACTAATTACCAAAGGTATTATAATTATAAGAGCGTCGGTGGCTCAGGTGTCAAGCACTTGACTTGCAATCTGCAGGTTCTGGGTTCGAATCCCGCCATGTACCAATGTGTTTTTCGATTTCCGATTTACATATGTACATTTATCCGACGTTCTTACGGTGAAGGAAAATATCGTGATGCAACCTGCACACATCTGAGAAGAAATTTAAAGATATGTGTGTAGTCAACCACCCCGCAGTGGGCCAGCGTGGTTGACTATGTCCTAGTCACCCGTGACTTAGGGTAGGCTCCGAGCCCTTCGGTGGAAACGTATAGTGAGCTGATGATGATGATTATAATTAGTAAGCTACACCAAGACTACATGGTTGCCAGAATTTTTTTTTACAACAAGTAAATTTTTTGTTGCAAATTCTCTGACATTCAACAATAATGTGTCTCTAAAATTTCACACTGGGTCCTACAACAACACACGGGGAAAACAGTGGCAAGTTTAAGTGGAGCTTAACAAGGTGTAAACAGGAAATAGCACTCGTTTGTTTGTGAAGGGACGCTTCTGAAGGGATTATCCGGTCCTAGAAGGCTCCTCTACTGAAAGCGACCGTGTTTATATTTTTTTCTGTTCTCGTGACAAATCACCATTTACTCCGTGAGATACTTTTGAACATATAAAATAACAGAATGTAATCTTACTAATATTATAAATGCGAATGTTTGGATGTATGGATGTTTGTTTGAAGGTATCTCCGGAAAGGCTGAACGGATTTTGATGAAATTTGGCACACATCTAGAACATAGTCTGGAAGAACATATAGGCTACTTTTTAAGTTTTTTTTTAATTCTGTGCGGAGGGAGTCGCGTGCGACAGCTAGTTTATTTAATATAACGAAGATGAAACAGATTGTCTTGATAGTTTTGTTAATTCATTTGGCTGACGATAATCATAACAAACATTTTTTTAATCAGAATAAAACTATACAAATATGTAAAAAATATTTAATTGTTATGAGCATTCTACCTACCCCAGAATAGTGAATAATGCCTTTATATTTTTATTTACTTATTAGTGTAATATTATTAATTCACTTCACAATTATTTATTATTATTAATTTATTAATAATCACATTCCTTTGTGCTGCGTAATTCTCATCTAAATCGCTGTACTTAATTTTTATTTTACCTTTGCCTATTGTTTTTTTTTATATCCAATTGTAGTCCTTCTTGACATGAATAACAATAGGTGGTACCGTACACGTACTTCTATGCGCGTACGCTCTACAAAACTACGAACTCTACATTTAATATAATGACAAATTTTCCAAAAATTAAAAGTTATTTAACTTTGAACTTTATTTCCTTAGCAATAAGGTTCAGTGTGATTTTAACGGCGTATAATTTAAGTTTGTAGAAGGCGCGTTTCGGTGCGGTGCACATGGAGTCGTCAGTCGCGGGCCCATTGACTGTGGTTCCGGTGGGGTCGATCACCAGAGCGCGGTGTGTACGTTCCTTTACATACGGTATTTCGAAGTTTGCGCGCGTGTCGTACGTTTGTCTCGCGCCAAAATTAAAAATAATTAATTCTAAATTTGAAATAAATAATTGAAGCAAGATTAATATTTTTATTGACATTTATTTGAATATTGTGAAGTGATTATGAGAGACGATTTAACTTTTGCGCGCCAATTCATGGCGGTTATAAAGTAGACAATTTTACGTATTATAATTACGTTGTGTTTTTTCGTTGTGTAATGTATAGTGAGATATTGTTTTAAAAATGAGAAATACGGAGCTTGAATATATTATTCTGACATTTATTCTCTCAGTTGCCGTTAAAGTTGGTGAGTAATTTTCTGTGTCAATATTCGTAACATTAAAAGTTTTCTTCGCTTAACCAACAAAAAAATATTACGTTATTTTAAATTGTATTGCGTGTATCAAGTATTTTTTTTATTCTTATTTTAGTGTATCTTTTTAATTTTGTAATTAGAAGTGATTTAAAAATGGAATTGCGTGACTAATGCAATGGCTAATTACTCGTAATTATTATTATTACTTAATTGTAATTTAATTATTAATTTAGTAATTATAATAATCACTTTTTAATCGATTAGTAAACAAAATATAGTGTGCGGTGTATTTAATAGTACAGTCAGAAAAAATTGGTATACTTTTTTTTTTACTTTAATGCTAATATTTTTTATAAGTAAATAAAATGTTTTGTGTCAAAACTCTCGGTAAAATCTTACTAATTACTAATATTATAAATACGAAAGTTGTGATGGATGGATGTTTAGAAGGTGTCTCCGGAACATCTTAACGTATCTTGATGAAATTTTGCATAGACGTAAAACATAGTCTGCAAGAACACGTAGTCTACTTATTAAGTTTTTTTTAATTCCGCGCGGACGGAGTCACGGTTGACAGTTAGTGTATAAATAATAACTTAAAGATAAATAAAGAGACTTACGAACCTATCCGTAAAAAATTTATGTCTCAAATATGTTTCGAATATTTCGTTGAACTAAACGGGATTTTTATTAATTCTGATTATGATATTGAATATCATAATTATACAATTATTTATGTGTTGAATGAAATTAAGATATGTCTAAGTATCATGGCTCTTAACTCATTTAGTCAATTTAGTCTAGGAAATTGCCTTCTAAGTAACTTGAAGCGGAATCATTTCAACAACAGACCTTTTGTATAAAACTCTCTACCAGTAAATCTCCTAACCATACTAGTCTTCTACTATACTTTGATTATTAATTTAACTAGCAAAAGCGATGCTTTAGAAGGGCTTGAGAAGAGTACATCGTCATTTTGTGTAAAATATTTTTAAAATAAAGTATATTTTAATGTATTGAAAAGTAAGAGATATTATACATGTTGATTTCATTATTTTCTAATAGATTACTGAAGTACTAAATTCCAATAAAATCTTCTATTTATTACGGTAAATATATCATCATCATCAGCTTACTATACATCCCCACCGAGGGGCTCGGAGCCTACCCAATTAAGGGTTATTAGGCCATGGGCCGCGGACGAGAGCGAAAGCGTGCCCGTGGTCCCGTTCCGATGCGTTGGAGGAACAGAGGAGTTTAGTGGGTATGCCTCCGCTATGGAGGAGAATCCCACATAACTACCGCGTCCCCCCCGGGGCGCGGAGTGTGCATAAAGCATTCCCCTCGGAAAAAAAGGGATTATTAGGCCATACTAATATTATAAATGCGAAAGTTTGGATGTATGCATGCGTTTGTTAGAAGGTATATCGAGAACGGTTCAACGGTCTTCGATAAAATTTAGCATAGATGTAGAACATAGTCTGGAAGACCACACAAGCTACTAAGTTTTTTTAATACTGCGTGGACGGTCAGTAAGGAATGGTCAGGATGATGGATAAGATTGATTCAGAGTTAAATTTAAAGCATTCACCACATCGTGTGCGTTAGTTACATTTGCAAGTCTAAACTTGATGTGACATCAGTCGTTTACGATCACAAACTGTTACCAGGCAAAAGCTTGGTTTATGCTAACTTTTAGAAGTATTTGAATTTCATAAGCTTTCAAAGCTACACTTATCTATATTATAAGAAAAAAAATACAAATTAGTAAGATATATTAAAAAAAAACACTAAAAATAAAAAAGTAAAACCATGTTATTATAATTCGATATTTCATGCGAAGTTGAAACATTGCCGGACAGTTGAAAATTACCGGACAGTTGAAACATTACCGGACAGTATAGTATCGCTAAAAACGTATTCAAGAATATATTGCTATCTCTCTGTTTGTCTTTAGAAAAACAGAGATAGCGATATATCTGATACAAGTATTACGGCAATGGAAATCTACAATAAGTAATCATTGTTTTGCATATTTAAATATTCATTGTTTTGTTTCGGCCAGTGTTGTGATAATAATCTTAATTCCGCTCCTCCAGCGGCTATGAGATATTTCTATCTAATGATACAATAATGTAATTTTAATATAATTTTCTGATTTCGTCTTGTGAAATATGAAATTACACAAAACAACGTACAATGATTACGGACTAGATTTTATCGTAAATGTTAATTCAATTTTGATCACCGTGATATTTTGGCAAATACAAATTTTTAGACAATGCATTTGTATTGCTAACATCTTACGTATATTATATTACTAGGGGTCGAAAGAAAAAATAATTAGTAGTCTATGAATTCTTCCAAGCTATGTTCTACATATATCCCAAAGTTTCAGCGAGATCCATGCAGTCGTTCTGTATACCTTCAAACAAACATCCATCCAACCATCCATTCATCCAAATATTCGCATTTATAATATTAGTAAGATAAATGTGAATGTTTAGAGGGCTCAACGGCTCTCTATGAAATTTGGCATGGATGTACTACATAGTCTGGAATAACACATAGGGTACCAATTAAGTTTTTTTTATTTCCCCACGGACGGACGTTTCGGGCGACAGCTAACATCAAATAAATTCCATAATGAAATCCTGCATTATAATTTATATGTCTATATTTCATACGATACAAAAGAAGGTGACGAATGCCTTACGTTAGCCGAAATGTAAAGAATGCCTTCACAAACTGGGAGCACACTCAAATGAAAAAAATGTACAAAGCAGTCTTCGTGTAATTGTAACACTGCTTTGTCTTACGTTTCCTGGGACAAAGGAACAAGGAATCCAATTATACAACTTGTTCTAAATTACTATACTTATTGATCAATTTTGACACTATTGTAACATTTTGTATTACCTAAGCTGGATTTTCTTCAAAAAACAAATGAATTTCAAATGCATTTTTATCGCTATAGCTATTTCTGTTATTATTTTTCACTTAAAATCAGCGCCTTTCTTCAATTGTCCATGCTTGTATCCTCACCTACTATAGTATGTATCCATTGACCAAAGAAAAGTGGAAGGCACCAGGGTACCAGGTAGATCCACCAGGTAGATTTTATTGCTGGCTTTAATCTTTTATACCCTTTTAAAATTGATATTTGATATAGTGGTCAGTTTTATTTCTATGGAAAATTTTACATCACAATTTCAAAAAGCTTTTACTAACAGATACTAACTCTCGCAACAAAGGTAATGTACTGTAAAAAAAAGAGCAAAATTTTGGTTATCCAACGTTAGAATTTTAAAAAAGTAGGTTACAGCGTTAACGTTCATAGTTGTAATTATTATACCAGATACGGTTTTTGCATTAAGAGTCGGCTTTACCTTAGTTAAGTATAAAAATTGTGATAAGAATATACTGGTCCGCAAATCTCATGACTATATTTATGGTAATTCCAGAATATTCTCGAAGAGTTTTAGAAAAATTTGCTCCGAAAGTATTTTTAAATATTTTTTTTTTATTTAAATGAGCAAGACTTGAAAATATATAATTTGTCGTACTTGTATATTTTAATGATGTCAAGTTTTTGAAATGTAAATTTACTTAAATATTCAACCTCTTTACAGATCTAATTGAAATATTATTCATAGATTATTGGCATAGTCGAAAAATTTCATAAATACAAATATAAATTGTCATATTCCTCTTAAACTCTCTCAATAAAAGAAGACATCAATACGTTATGACATTTTAATTTTACTTTTAACTCTTATTACTGTTCTTGAAAAAACAAAAGAATAGACATAATGTAAAGGATCAAATGTACTACTTTCGATAAAAAAAATCTTAAAGGACACAATGTTTATTTTTGTAAATTAAACTTTTGACAAAATCACTCATAAGATATTTCAAAAACCCACTTTATTGTAACCTCTAAAAACTAGACTTTGGCAGAATCCTCCATTTTTAAGACCATAGGGAAGAAAATAATACTTTAAACATTCGTCCTAAAAAGCAGCTTTTTTTACTTTTAATAATGTAGCTAAGGGCTGCTAGGTAAGTATCCAGCCTAATATTTTAACCTCAGCGTTCAACTGTTTCAAGTTCTGCCAAGTTTAGAAGTTCATCGGTAGATTCAATAGATTTAGCCACAAGTCTCTATTTGGCTTGTACGTGTTGGTATTTCCACTGAATTTACATGGAGACGCAGTTGCATTTTCCCCGGTTATTTCTATTAGTTTAAAGTCTAATTCGTCCTGAATTAGACTTTAAACTATTCTCTAAATTAAACTCTCTAAAATTTAAGTTGATTTTATCTTTAGAAGTTTTTGTAAGCATTTACACATATATAAAAATTGTAGGACATATTTATTTAAATAAAGAATTAAAAACAAAATTGACACCGGATTTTTTTGGAATCGTAGTTTTAAAGTGAAAGATAAGAACTTTAACGACAGAACCAAATTAAAAGTGCGGTAAGATTTTTCTTTACTTCCCCTTAAGAGAAAATTGAGTAGACCGCGGCAGCGTATTTGCGGTAAAAATTTTAGTAATATTATACTTTTTCTCAGATTTATGAAAAAGGTTCATATAACTTTGTTCATAATATCACACAAGCAATCTGCAAGAAACTTTACGTATAGAAATAAATGTTCATGAATAACCATTGCACTGATTTACCAAGGAGTATACGTCTTTCAACCGCATAGTGTAACAAATAGTAACACCTCTAACCGAGGTTCCCAGTAGAGCCTTTGAGCAAAGTTAATACCACAAATAAGTTTAGAGGACGTAATACAGTTGAAGACCTGTAAACTGAACTAAACGATACATTCTTCTAATATTTAGAAAATATTTAAGAATTAAATCAAATTGAGAAACATAGTCTAATAATGAGACCTATGCTAAACGAGAAGGAACGAAAGAAGATAAACAAACTACACTATTAAAAGACTGTTATCTAGTGGTAAAAAGCGTCAATAGCC